AGTGATGATGTTGTAGATAATATAACCATAGATAATATAGCTGATGTAATGAGAGTGGCGCATCAAACAATAGACAGTCAAATGGAAGATGCAAGAAGTAGAATGAATTTTGAAGGAGTACAAAACATAAGGTTTAAACTAATGGTTGATGAACCTGTGTAATTCATAACTAAACCATAACCCCTAGCCAAAACTACTTAAAGAAATATTACCTTATATATTAAAAGGAAAATGAACGGTGATGGAATCAATAATTATATCAATAAAAAATGCTATGATTGTTGTCACTTCAAAAAAGAAAATATGGAATTGTATAAATTGAGTTTACCTAATGAAATTGTGAATAATATTATTAATTATTCAATGGATGGTGAAGAAGACATATGTAAAAATTGTAAAACTTGGAGAGATAATCAATGTTTAATCAAATGTCTGTTGGGAATAAAAAGAATACATAATAGAAATGTAGAAGATGATATTTTAATATTTCTAACTGTAAATAAAATACCACCTTACTATTGTGTTAAACAGTTTCTTAAAATCAGTAAGAAAAAATATGACACGATTTACGATATATTATGGATGTTGGGTTATAGTCAAGAGAAAGGAGAAGATGTTAAAGAAAATATCAAATTATTTATTGAAAGTAAAAAGTTTAATGTTCAGAATACAGTGAGAGATGTTAATATTATTTTTAAAATGATGTATGAAAGAAGTAAGACAAACCAATTAGATTATTATCCTGAACTGAAATTATAATCATAATATAATAATAACATGTAAAATCTTATATGTTATAATTATACTGAACTTTTAACCTATAAATGAAAATTAGTGAGAAAAACACTAACAAAACAAATACACCACCAACACCCCAGAACTTGATAACTACTAAAAGGGCCAACTCTTTCAAATGAAAAAAATGTCGGCCCCCAGCCCAACAATGAACAAGGGGGGCAATTACCAAAATGATTACCTTAACGAAAACGATAAATAAGCTCCCTAAAAACCCTCTTTTAAAAACGAATAAGGGGGAACACAGATTTGAGATGAACATAAAAACCAGAACAGGCAACCATCAACAGACCACCCCCCAGGCCCCCTACTTTCTCCATTTTTTCCCCCCCCCGGCCTTCTCCACGAGCAGCCGGGCCACTCCGATGGTGGCCTGCTCGTTGGCGCCGTAGACCACCTGGGCGCGTTCCCACGTGCAACTGGTTTGCTCGCGGGCAGCATTTGAAAGGTCTCAAAAGGGACTGAATATTGCCGCGTGCTCGTGAGGGCCCCCCGGTTTCGCGGCAGGCGCAGCACTTTGGACATGTGAGCGCTGGATTTCGTGTCTCTAAAGGGAGTGGATCTTTGATTTCGTGTCAGGCACAGCACTTTGGATATGTGCGTGCTGGATTTCGTGGCAGGAGCATTTGAGAGGTCTTGACAGGGACTGGATGTTGTCGCGCGGCGCGCGCCCCGTGGTTTCGTGCCAGGCGCGGCACTTTTCGACCCGTGGCCGGCGCCGGATGTCGTCCCAGGGGCCTTGGGGTCTCCGAAGCTTCGACCCTGGGCCGCCGGGCCAGCAGCTTAGGCTCGCGCTTGCAGCGCAGGAGCTCGGGGATGAACTGATCCTCGCCAGATTTTCGCCTTTTGCCATGGGAAACCGCGGTTTTTCCCCAAGCGGCCGGAATGGTTTGAATGGGAAGCACCGAAATGGGCGGCTGCGACTTGCCAATTGTTTTTGTTTTTGTGTTTCGCTTTGAAACGCACCTCAAAACCTGAAACACCTGACCTCCACACCCTCAGCCTCCAGCCTTCAATTCAGAAGGGCCAAAGAATGAAACCCAAAGTGGCACCTTGGTAAATGGAACCAAAGACAAGGTGTGTAACCCTGGCTCTTCCATGAGCAACACCATGGCAAGCCCTCCGGTCCCGATTGATCTTGGGCGCAGGGTAGGAAACTGCCAAGGGCAGATGACACTGCTCGAACCTCGGATCCGATGGAGCCACGTCGGCGGCTTGACGCTCACACGCACACAACAACAACAAAAACATGCAGGAAGGGATCTGAAAAGGGGGGGTTCTTCTTTTCCCGAAGGTTTTAAAGGAAAGTCAAAGGGACAACCACCATTTCGTAGGTTTTGTTTCGAGACACCCCCGAGCGCCACGCGGGCGAACGGACACACCCTCGGCTTGACCGGGGACCCGGCTCCGCAGCGTCGCGCACGTCCAGCAGCACCAAATCCCGCGCCTGCGGCATAGGTGTCCTTTTAGGGGAAATAGATGGCCCTGATGGATGATTAAACAAACCACCAGGTAAACCAGGGAAACCCATCGATTTTTCCACCAAAACAACCAAAAAGGACACTTATGAAAACCAAGTCGCCGGTGTCCGGTTTCCTCGAAGTTTGGCGCAAGTTGCAATCTTCCTTTTTTTGGCCGGACCTAAGCCTAGATGTACAGTCCCCCCGCTCAAAGACAAAGAGCGGGAGGCATGTTCTCGCAGAAGCAACATCGACATCAAAAATAGATCCAATCTGACCTGTGAACTCCTCGTCCAGCTTACACGGTTTCATCCAAGCAAACGTGGTCATGAGGCAACTTGGTGTTGCCACCGACTTCGAGCAGCCACGCAGAGGCGGCCCCTGCCCAGCCAGGCAGGCAGTGCAGATCTAGAGTGAAGTCCTACTCCCAGCAGTGCCTTGACTTGGGGTAGTTCCCACAAGCGCAGTTCCCATAGGGTTTTCAAGGCTGGGGAATCCCTGTGCGACCTGCCAAAAAGTAGTACAAGAATGGAATTGCTGATCTTACTTGTTTGTTTCAATGTGCTTTGTTTTGGGGGGACCTGTTTTGGTTGGCTCTTGAGGGGAACCAGAAGCCAAATCAACTGTTCTGAGTGCCCAAACTGATTTGGAGACAAGTACACTCCGGACAAACAAACCCATGGCCAAATCCAGAACCCCCGCCCCAAAGAGTTTCGTAGCCATCGCTCAGTTTGAGGGGGGGCTGTGGAATAGTGTGGACTTTGCAAGACTACTGCATGAAACAAGACTGCATGCTCATTCCCCAAACCCCTCAAACAAGTTCCTGGTCAAAACAAGATTTTGTTGGTGACCTTTCGGCTTCCTTTGGGTATCCCCCTTGCTTGTTCTTGGTAGAGAATATCCTCCATCATATTGTAGGTTCATTCCCTGATGGAAGACCCAACAAAAGGGTGGTTTCCCTTTGAATTGCTTTTGAAACCACCCCGATAAGGGCACCCTCAAAAACAAACACGCTCGTCACTCATGGGATTTCGCCTTGGACACGTCGCTCGACCTCGCTGGCTACCGTTCAGCGAGTCGCGCCCGAGAAGCAATCTGCCCCCCCCCCCACCAAGAGGTCTTTCTTGACGAAAGCAAATAAGTATTTTCATGAAAAGGCCGGCTGTCTCTCAATGTTGTTGTTTGTTTAAGTCTCAGTTTCTTTCCACTTTAGGAAAAAAAAACAAACCCAAAAGAAAACGGCATGGGGGATCCGCATCCATCGCCCAAGGGCGGCCTCGGAGACGGTGGTGTCTGTCTCCACCACGCTCACTACAGACCTCAGGTGTTCAGGCGCCGAGCCGAACACCGAAGCGGACGGTCAACGGTCTACGGCAAGGGAAACGGGCCAAAAAGGCGATACCCAAAGGAAACCTGATGCAAATGCGTGCGGTCAAAACCTGGGTAGATGAAGATTCGTAGGAGACAATCCCAGCCACACATCGGTGTGGCCGCCTTTCGAATTCTTTGCATTGGTTTGGGGACACAATTTTAATACCGATCGGTCTTCATTGTGACTGTGGGCATGCCAAAGGATACCCAAAGGAAACCCAGAAACCTGAAGCCCAGCTGGCTGGTTCAAGAATATCAGGAGTCTTGGGATTGAACCGGAGGATTGTTGAAATTTGAGAAACCAGTTGGACGGCTGGGACAGGTCCTTCCCACCTTCTCTTGTTAAAACCAGGAAAAAGCCCGTGGCTGCGAGAGAATCTGGAGTTCTCAGCCCCTGTAAACCCCTTCCCGTACGCATACCATCCCTTATGGTTTTCTTGAAGGGGATTCCAAGCAGTTCACAAAACCATATGGTTCTCTACGAGCCAGCACTTCACCAGCCACAAAAGCCGCCCTTCCCAGATCGGCGCCATCGTTTGGCACTCAGAAAGACCCCGCGCTGGTGCTATGGTTGCAGGTCTCGGGTTAGTCCGTCACTCGGGTTTTGATTGTGGCGCAGGGGGTGGGAAGTGTCCCTTGCAAATTGGCAACAAAAGGTACCTTCGAAAACACACACGCACATAAGCTGAAAAGGGCATGCAATTTCAGCTGAGGAACTGCCAATCTTCCCCCTTCCCCCCCCCCCAAGCAAAAACAACCGATCTCGAATCCCATTAGATCTGCACAAATCACCAATCCCCAAGCTGGAAATCAGGGAATCCCACACAAAGACTTTCATCGCGGTTGGAATCGATCCTTATACACCCGAATCGTTAAGCTCATGGATTTTGACCCCAATTTGGGCAGGTGCCCACCGTGTCCCACACGACACGTTTGCCGTCTCTCTCGCGCGCCGGAAACCTGGTGAAGTCTCGCAGTGTGGCGAACCATCCGCCACGGCGGTAACTGGCGATGGTTCGGGCCTGCAAATCCTGGGAGTGTCTTGAAGGTGAAGCTAATCGTTGGTTTGAAGGGAAACTCAAAGGAAACCTGACTCAATTCTGAACGAGGCACACCCTCCGCCTCATTTCCACCCAACAGAACTGGACAAGGACCAGGTGTTGCTGCGAAAGGAGGCAGAGCAAGCCGGCATGCGCCATTGAATCATTTACAGGAGAGCCAACCCTGAGCTTGGACAGACCGAATCCAGGTTCCCGCCACCTTCACAAAACAAAAGCAGGGTGGTACCACTTGCGTTGGCTCTCCGAGCAACTGAAAGCCGTGGATCTGAAAAGCGAGCTCTTCCAGTTTTGAGCTCCTTGAGTTGCCATGTTCGGCCACGGCAAAAGCAACGCCCTTTCAGATCCTCGGCGGAAGAAGGCCTTAGGCCGAAGGTTCTTTGCACCCAAGAACAGGCGCCTTCATGACAGCGCAAGCATCACGCTCAATATGGAACCCAGGAAGCCCCTGATGGAGCTCTTCCGCGGCATTTGTGGCATCAAAGCAGGCGTCGCTCGGAGGCCTGTGGCCAAATGTCCGCCAATGATCGAAATATGATTGACACACAGCCCCTGAATTTACCTTTCACAGGACTTGAATCAAAGGGAAAATCGTGCAGCATGGCTGGCGTTCGCCTCCCACTGGAATCCCACTGGTTCCTTCATTTGCGCGAGATCTCAACTTGGAAACCTTTGGTGGACATCATGTGCAATGAACATGGATTTATGCAACCACCGGGAACCCCCACCTCCAACAGCCCGTTCATGTACTCGGGCATGTGCTGCAGGAAGCTCCACTCCGACCAGTGCTCCACCTCCCCCGTGAAGACACGCGGAAGCTGCTGCGACGAACTCGGCCGCGACTGAGGTGGGGGGCTTGGGCTCACAGCCTGCCGTGGCCAGCACCAATGCCGGCTGCTGCTGCTTTTTTGTGAGGGCCCAAGGGAAGAACATCATGTTGGCGTTGCTTTGTTTGCTGGATTTCATCATGGACCATGTCCGTACATATATATATATGTAGGAGTTATGTATATGTAGGAGTGAAATGTTAAACTGGGAGCTCCTGCGCACCCTGAATACCTTGAATGTAAACCTGCGAGTGTATCATGCCGGCAGTGCAGCACTCCTTTTGTACGGGCGTGACGCTGTAGGCTCAAGACCTTCATCATAGCAGCGAGTGCCACATGCACTGCAAGCTGCGCAAAGGTTGTCAAGGCATGTTATACTTTAACACGCCTCCTCAAACTGTACTGTGACCAGTACCCTTTGCACATGTACAAAAAAGCGTTGTTGCTCAGGATGATGTTTGCCAGGTATGCAGACGCACTGTACAACTGTGTCCCTCATAGCCGGCTCAACTGCAGCCTGAAACGCGGTGCGCCGCTAGGGCTGACCAAGTTGTCTAGCACTGCTGTTGCAAGATCAGGTCCGTGTTGCGGCGCCCCTGCGTGCAGGCATAAGACTGACCCATTTGTTGTCTTCTGTGAGCTTGCGCCTGTGCCAAGCATCGTTACTTCTTGCGATCCTGAGATGGGTACTGCTGATGAATCTGCTGGATGTGGGAGCGCCCTTTGTGGTACCTGTGTGTACCAATTGCTGTCATGGTGTACCTGGCTGTGCCAGTCATCTGTCTGGTCGTTGCTGTCGAAGTTGCGTGTCGCAGTTGTCGGTCGCCACTCTGCATTGTTTGGCCATGTGTCCTGGCTGTCCACATCTGTAGCAAAAACATGTTGCACGTTTGCCTTTTGCTCCTTTTCCTCCTTGTTGCTTGTTGTAGTCTTTGCCTTTCCGTTTGTCGCTGTATGCTTTTCCTTTGCTGAATCCTTGTTGTCCTTTGAAGGGCGTTCCCTGTCCAACCGGTTGATTGTACTGCTTGCCTTGTCCCTTGTAGCTGTTGTAGTGGTAGTTGCTCCTGTAGCCGCCGTAGCCTTTGCCTTTGTTGCGCCTTCCTTTGCCCTTGCGCTTGCCTTTCTCTCCTTTGTTGTACCAAGTTGCTCCTATGTCCATCGGCGCTGCTCCTTGGTTGCGGTTGTTGCCTGATGCGATTGCTTGTAGCCTGTTGAACGATGATGCTGCTCTGTAGCACTCTGTTACCAGAGATCAAATTTTGCCCATAGGTTGCGATGTTTTGTGCCTGCAACTGTAAGTGCTGCTGTAGCGGTCCTTTTGTTTCATTGAGCAGTATTGCTATCTTGACTGCATCTGGTAGTAGTGTGTTGTTGTCTTGTTCGTACTTTGAAAGTTGGAGCGCCCATGTTGTAAAGCTCTTTTCCAACTCCTGTTCATCAAGTTGTGGTTCTAGCAGCCCTGTAAGGTACCCAATGCTTCTTGCACCAAACACTTCTTGCGCCAAGTGGTATGGAGCGCCTTGCGCGTTTCAGCTGCCATGCTTCAAAGCCGTTGCCTTGAAGGTTTTGTCTGCCGATTGTAGACGCTGGTCCACCGCATGTGCTCACTAAGATGTGGTGTAAGTTCTGACATCTAAGAAGTCTGTTGCATGCAGGATCTTGTAGTCCAAGATTGGCTGTCATTTTGTACTTCCATTCTTTAAAGGTTTTGCATTCTCCTCTGAGTCGTGGTGGTGCTATCGCTGCTGCTGTTGATTGTTGGGCCGCCATTCCTTATGTGGTGTGTTGCCAGGATGTTTCCCAGGTGACTGTACTCTCGCTCCTCTACCATGTTAAGCTGGGAGCTACTGTGTAGCCTCCGTACCGGAAGTGTAAACCTGTGAGTGTGTCAAGCCGGCAGTGTAGCACTCCTTTTGCACGGGCGCGATGCTGTAAGCTGCACAAGGGTCAAGGCATGTTATACTTTAACATGTAGAAAACCGTCGGCAGAACGCTCGGGGCCTCCGAGTTCCCATCAATCTAAGCACCTCCGGCTCAGCTGTCAGCCCCCCGTCCCCCGCCTTCCCCTCGGCACACGTCGGAAGTCTCGGAGGCGCCTTCGGCGCCCCGAAGCTGCGGGGGCTGCGGGGGCTGCCTGGGCTGGAGCGGCGGCCTCGGTCGATTGCCATGTCGCAGACAAAAGAAGCGGCCTTTTCCACGGTCATGTGGCGCCAACCCCCGCAACCGGCAAAGCCACCCTTTCTCCCCACAAACCACTAGAAGGCCGCGCGGCTCTGTCGCAGCTCCTCGGGCTCCTCGGGCAGCGATGAGAAGCCAGGCTCCTGGCAAATAAAATGAATCCTTCCAATGTTTCAGCCGTGCTCATGTGATGTTTTCGGTGGTCGATGGGTTCTGGCGCTGTTCCGGTCCTGTCCTGCTAGCGACAAATCGAAATCCTCGCAACATACCACAACGCCAACACAAACAAGATCGCCCAAACCAAAGCCAACACCAACAACATAACAGGCTGCGGCCAGGGGAGCAAATGTTGCTTCATTGCGCAATGTTGATTGAAGGAGGTTGCCACGGACACACTGAAACTTTACTCTTTTCAGCGCACACTTGATTGCAGGAATATAGGTGCCCACGACCTGCCATGTCCCACAGCGCGCGCAAGGCAAACGCAGAGGTCAGCAAACTTGACATCAGGTGATCGATTTTACGTTTGCGCTCACTTGGCTTGCTGACGTGAAGGAACCGCTTACAAGCCTCGATCCCAGCTGGTGCGACCCATGCTTCCAAGACAAGGCAGGGCCGCCGGAACTTGAAGTGCTTGGCGCAGCTCGCCAACTGGACCACTCGTAGACATGAAGGAATAAGCATGTCTTGTGTGGGCGCCCTTTGTCCAGGATGGTTTTTTGTGCAAAAACATGTGTCAGGCCAGAAGCTTCCGGATAGTTTGACGCAACGTCAAGTGCATCCTTGCCAGAACCTTCAAAAGTGCTGGAATTAGCTCATGTGTGTCCCTTCAAGACATGAACCACCCCAATTCGGACACAGCCAGCCAGTTCAAGCTTCGCAAGCACCGAAGCACCCAAAAGAGGGCGGGTTCTTTCTTTGAGGGGAGGTAATCAGGTTAAGGTTCGTTGAGGAAAACCAAATAGAAAACATACATGTTGGCAAGCTTCCCCCAATTTCACAGCTTCCATATCCGAAGGAGACAAACTCAAAGACGGCCTCCCGTCCAAAAAAAAAAAACTCGTCTCCTTGAGCACCTCCACCCGCTTCGGCCGTTTTCGCACCGCCATGCCGTCCCGGTAGTCGAAGCGGTGCACGTGCTTGGAGAGCGCATGCGTCAGCACGGACTTCTCAAAGTGGAGCTCCACGTAGTACATGGCTCGAGCGGAGGATGCGTTGACGCTACTGGCTGGCACTTAGGTTTTGCTCATGTTCTCAATGAAGTGTGCAGCGAGGTGCGTCTTCCTATTTCTTGTCAGAGTCGCTTCGCCCACTGATCTTTGAGCAACTCGGATTGATCCAGGAAGAACCTTAAACTATTGTAGCTCAAGTTAGCATAAAGCAAGGTCAGCATCTCTTGCTTGACAACGATTCGGCCGCCGTGCTGTCTCTGGGGTTGCGCAAGGGTTTTGAGCCTGTGGCTCGTGGAACAGCACGCGTGAAGCGCGTTGAACGGCCAAGATCAGGTTAGGGTGTTTGAAGTCCATAGCTTTGTCGGTCCAAGCAGGCGCACTTTTTTCAATGGATAAATTGCGGACAGTTGAAATACGTTCCAAATGGAACGGCGATCAAATGTGCGCCACCGCATGACCCTGATTAGCATCAGAAAGATTGAACATCAGCAAAAAGTCGTCGACAGGCGAATGTTAGAATCATAAGCTCCTCACTTACTTTCTTGGTCGGTTGGTCCGTTCATATGAAACTCCAAAATGGGCAAAACCAAAATTTCTAAGATGCACCTCGAACATTGCAAAACCAGTGCATGCATGGTTTGATCTTTTGCTTAGAATCATGGATGGGAGCGATTGTCTTTTACTTGGCATCCCTTTTCGGATGGCTAAAAAAAACGGCAACCGCAGGGACCCCTCATTCTGAGAAACTCCAATGCGGCTATGTCTAAACCCGGGGGGGGTCAGAAAACTGGCTCCGCTTTCGCTTTGGCTTCTCTTCCAAACAATCCCAAAAAGGGCCATTTCCCAGTCTCGAGGATGCTCGGCTTGTTTGACAAAAAAAAAAAAAGGGGAACCCGAGGGGTATGGTGCGGTTCTTGCGAGCTCATGGTCCAAGCCCTGCAACATCCAGACGAACCGCTCCTGCCACACGCGCTTGACGCGAGCCCCAGGGTTCCGGGCCCTGCCACAGAGCCCACAGACGCCACACTCATGGAGACGCCCCTGTGCTCCTGAGGCTCGGAATGGTCATAGGAAGGCCCCGTCAAATAGGGGAGCCCGAAGATGGTGAGCTTCTTTTTGTACCATCTTAAAGAAACAAACACTAACACAATGTATATATATATATGCTACCCCAACCTTGGAGTACTCAGGTGTTTGGCCAGATTGAGACAGAACTGAATTAAAAGGATGTGCAACTCCGTTCAAGTTCCAACCAAGCAGAGATCAAGCTCAAACGGCGCCTTGGAAGCCCTGACAGAGGAGGCATCGTCCCCCCGCTCGGAGCCCGGGCCTGGGCGCGGGCCACGTTTTGGCGAGTTTCTGCTGGGAGCTGCCAAAACCAATTGAACTACCTCGTGCAGAATGCGCGAATTAGAGAATGTCCGCCCAAAAAAACGTGCGCATGGAAACCAAAGTTCTTGCGACAAAAATGGGTTTCCGTACGACGAAGGCGGCAGCAGCAGCAGCAGCAGCAACAACAACAACAACGGCGGCGGCGGCGGCAACGGCGGCAACGGCGGCAACGGCGGTAACGGCGGCATTGGTGACAACGGCGACAATATCGGCAACGACAGCGACGGCGTACACATCCCTTTGGGGGACATTCCACGCAAGCGCGAGGGAAGAATGATCGGGCGCGCTCAAGCCTTTTCCGGCATCGTGCCAAACTGAGCTGGCCACTCACCGCCAACAATGAGTGGCTGGTCGGTGGGCTGAGAGCGGCCAAGTCTACTGTTGGCCTCACCATAGCCTCCAAACTGACTCAGCCAGAAGTACAACCTAGAATGACTATGCTTCTGAGCCAAGCCAAACGAGTGCTTCTGGGTCAGGCTCTCAGCCCCTGAGCCACTGGCCCATGGCATAGACAGACTCAGAAACCTGAACTCCAGAGCCGTTGGGCAAGCGTGGCAAACTTCAAAATAAAGGGCGTTTGGCTGATTCAACACAACGGGCCTGAACCTCTGCACGCACGATTATCATATTGTCAGGCAGGGCCTCTTTTGATGCTTAAGGTTACCCTGTACCGAGTCCGAGCAACTCGCTCGTCAGCTGACACGTTCGTTGGCCAGTTGCATATTCAACCGGCGCGCTGCAAGAAAAAACACATGAACATCAAAACACGTCGTGTCTCTACTTTGCCGCCATCCCTCCTTCCTCCCAAACATTTCCAACCCTCAACCCCAATGCAACCCCCCCCCCCACCCTGAAACACACTCAACCCCCACTCAAAACTCGACCCACCTCGCAACATCTTCACCTCTACCCTCAATAGCAATGGAAGTTTGGGGGGGAGGGGGGGAAAAGGGTGGAGTTGGAGATTTGGCAAAATTTGGTTCAAGTGCTTCGCTTATGCTTCGAAATTTGCCGTCTTCACCTCCGCGGCTAGCACGCAGTATTTTACAGCACTCCTTCAGCCCCCCACCCCACCCTCCTGACCCCTTCGGCTCACCTCCCGATCCTGCAGCAGTCTCACCAGCGTCGACGGCCGCACTCGCTTGAAGATCTGGAGGTGAGTTCAGGAACTCGTTCTGTAGGACTTTGAACGGAAACTGAATGACAACCAATAGGGTGAATCCTTTCCGTGCAACAGCAACCGAGAACCGTCGAAAAGCAACCCTGAAGCGTCCCAAGTCTCGCAGGGCGGCGCTGCCTCTCCCTTCTATTTGTATGTCCTATGCCTTTCACCGTGTCTGGCTGCACCAGCTGGGTGACAGCCCTGAAGTGGCGCTTTGTGAGGAGCAAGAATGTGACTTGTGCTAGTGTAATGGGAATGGCCATACGATCCCCTGCATCGAGCCGCGAGTGGGCGAGAGCATGAGCCCCATTCTACACACGAATCGTAGTCCTTTTGCCACCCAGGCTTGTGACCGTACCCAAACCCATCGTGGGAAACCATCCCGCTTCCAGACCACCATCCTTCTCAACGTTTCATGGACAGTGCGAGGTATCGCAGCAGTGGGCACCGTCCAACCTTCATCTCATCCAACTCTTCAGGGCTGTGTGGCTCCGCCCACCCAAAATGCGGGCCTCGTCCTTCCGCTTGGCCGTGACGTTGGCGGAGTGGAGCTGGCCGTGCCAGGAGCTCTCATGCGCAGAAGTCGCACCAGCCATGGGGGTTGGGGCGAACAGATCCAGATGCAAAGATGTTGCACTGAAAAGCACAGCTTTCCCCCAGACCGCTTGCAACATCTTCAAGCAATTGTTTCAACAGCCTTTTGGATTCGCAACAAATGTTGCCCAAAGCCCGATCTGAATCCCGCCTTTTCCTTCTTCGCAGAGGCGCCGGTATCGATGGACGAGGCGATGTGCGCATACCTACGCCAACAAACGCGAAGACTTCAGAGCTGAAGGCAAGGTCAAAGCATCAACGTGCTCCCTAGAGGTTCAACTCGAAAAACTTGTGAGAACCATCCCATGCAAGATATAGAAATGGGATGTGACCACACTGCTTCGAGTTGAACACGCCCTTGCCAGACTTTCCTGGCTCGATGAACCGGACTCGTTTGAGTTCGGGGAACCGGAAGAGAGTCCCAAAGGAAGCCGTAAGGGATGGGGGGCATTCTCTGATGTTCTGAGCACCGGCGAGAAAGTGTAATATGAATGTATGTCCTTGACACTGATTTTATGAGCTCCCTCGCGTGTGCGGATTCATTCAAAAGGGTACTTCTTCGTCTCCTTGATTGCTGTTAACGCGTTCCCTCAAGTAGCTGTTCCCTCTTCATAGCCATGATATGGCCCTTGCTCTTCTTGTCTAGCCCCAGCTATTTCCAAGAATTTGCTCAACCCAAATGGTCTAACCTTGCCCACTTTGTATCCTGTAACCTCCAAAAACGAAGTTTCTCTTATCCCATCACCAAGCACCATTTGGGCAAAGAAAACCTGCCAGTCCTGGGTCCAAAATGTAGCCATGGGGGGGGGGGGGGCTAAAGGTGGATGTCAGCCTAAATTGCTTATGAGACAAAGAGAAAGCTGATGAGACCTGTAGAGACAAAATGCTTGCTTGCTATTATGCCCCCCCCATGACATTTTGTTGCAAAAGCACCCCAGTTTTCAACCCCGAGCTGGTCACTTCTTGCTCTCAGGCACCTGGCAAGAAACATGGCCGTGCTGTTCACGTGAGCAATGCCAACCCATTCAAGACAAGCAGAATCCGACGGACTTGGTGGGGGGTTGCCCGGAAGGTGATCCGCATCCCCTCGTCAATGGAACACCTATGCAAATCAAGCTGAAATTGATACATCCCCATGCTCTATTCTGACTTGCCATCCATGGCTACGTTGCTTCGCCGCTCGTTCCAAAAACGCTTGAAACAGGTCTTCCATGTCTCCCCTGCACAATCTTCTTCTGAGCGTGGATGCAAAACCCCGACGCGCGTGCCACTCGGCGTCGCTGCTTGAGTCCTTGGCACTCACAATACGTTCCACGCCCACAGGTTCCTAAGCAACGAAACTGAGACACGCGACTCCAGACTAGACCCGAAGCTCGAGTCCTTTCTCGGCGAATCAGCGAGCATCCGCGCCTTCTTCTCCAGTGTTGGGAAGGAGGACTTCATGCCGAGGATCTCACAAAACGTCCGGAGATTTCCGGGCCTGCTGAGTCGCTACGCTATAACGGCTAGGCTGATGGGACAGTGAGTCTGTTCCGTAGGGCGTCCACTTTGGGGCTCGAGCTACTGCCGAAACGGCTCCGCGCGTGCCAAAGTCCGGGCAGGCTCATGCTGCTCCGCACCCCCACCCCCCCCTCTCTCTCACTTGCGCGAGCCGCTTTCCGCCCCGCGAAACTCGCTCCGCATAACTAAGTCTTTCAGCCGACGGGTTTTCCGACAGGTCGAAATGGTCCGGTCACCCTGAGCTCACCGCCGGCTCAAGGGCGCGCCACACAGGATACAAACCTCGGCACTCAACTGCCCACCCTGAGCTCCGTGTGTTTCCCTCCAAACGGGCCTCTACCCGCCCTCTCTTAAGAGTCCCCAAACTCATCGAACCAACAAAAGGCCCAAAACCGCGAGAACGGAAAGCATCCT